TTTACTCGAGTGCCCGTGGAAGGTTGCGCGTTCAGATCGGAAAGTTCAATGGTTCTCATTTGATTGGGATGTCAACCTCGAACAGATGGAACTCACCGAAAACCGGGGGGCGGAGCAGAGAAACTATATCACAGAAGAGGATCAAAGAATTCTTACAGAACTGAAGGATTTCTCGGCGCAATTTGTGCGTCACAAAAGGAGATGGTCATCGAGACAGGATATACTTCAACGACTTGTTCGACTAACACCAAGAGAGATTCATGTTAGTTGCAAGCTATATGTAGTTTTCCATATTGTTTTGCTGTAAAGAAACTTTCAGTAGTTTGCCGAGAATGATGTGAATTACTTTTATCTGAAATTTTACCTTTTTCTTGTACTATATGCTTCAATTAGATAAGTTCAGATTTTGAGAAACAGCCACATGAGGAATTAGATGGACTAAATCCAAACTGCTACACTCGGCAGTCTTAGGAAACATTTTTATCGGAAGGATGGCTCATTTCAGTTGGTCAAACATCATTTATTCAAATCAGGGGATACGAGGATCCAGTGTGCTCGAGGACGGTAAGTGAGAGCTGGCAAAACGATTACGTAACAAAAACAGGATCATCTAGCCAGTAAAACAGGGAAATTGCGAGTGAGCTNNNAGTGAGCTTAAATAAGGAAACGCGGGTATTCGGAGTGAAAAAAGCGAGGAACGATTATTCCAGAATTAACTTGGTCAAGGGGCAATGACACAAGAAAACTCATTCGCCGGTTAGCTGTATGTGTGCAGAGAATCACAACATCATAGCATTCAAGCGAAAAGATGCAGTTAGAACGTCCGGCCACAACACATAGTATTTGCTTGTGTAATCATTTTAACAAATCATTCTTGGGAACCAAACAAGATTGTTAAATTGTTTGGAACTCTCGTCTTATTTCAAACGTATTATCAGCTCTCATTGGTTATTTTCAGATCAGATAGTTGACTTAAGTATCTATGAGAAGACAATCTTCCTTGAGGTGGAACATGAATCGAAAACTCTCAAAAACAAGAGAAAGAACTTGTATACTAACTGACTGAGTAAAAACCAGCGAAAGGCTGAAGCGATGGTCTGGAATGAAGAAAAACGGGTCGCAAAATCGAAATGACCTCAAATGACCCTCGTCTTATCGTCTTGGTGCCAGGAAAAATTAGTGGACGCTAAAATCTTTAGGGTCGATAAAAGAAAAGATTTAATTAATGAAAGATAACCCTCCCTCTGGTGTTACAAAGTGAAAAGTAAAATTCTCAGCAAAAGAATACGATATTTTAAAAAAAATACTACTACTAAAGAAAACTTAACAAGTACCCATTTAGTACACACCAGTGCCTTTCGTAAAGTAATATTTTCAAATTTTAAATAAAATATCTTATTCTAGTCGGAGTCTCATTTTCTTTGCACTCTAATCCCCAGGTTAAAACCGTTCTCCATTGCTTTATCACAGAGAGGCATACACGCACCGTGTTATGTCTAACCAAATCAGTTTTCACAAGTTCAATTCCAAGTCTCCAAACACCAACCTCGAAAAAGCAGAAACCGACACGGACAACAGAGCAAATTCACATCTGAGGTCGTACAGCTGCGTTATGCTCCAAGGGAAAAATTTGCTTACTATGTATACATCACGTGGTGTAGTGTGTTCCAGAAAATGTGCGCGATAGCTTATATTAAGACGTTCCAGAGTAGAGTTGGTCGATACATTGAGTACACTGTAGAATTACGTAACTGCTCATACATTCCAGTTCATTACACGAATTCTCTGGAATCTTCGGTGAGATGCGTTCGGTTGAAATTGTCTTCACAAAGAAATGAATTGTAATCAGGACCACTTTCTCTCTCCTGACAATCTGGGCTCAAATGAGGAGGCTTTGGTCCTGGTGTTTTCATATTTCGAAGAAGCCTGTAACACCGTCATGAACTCAACATGTAACATCAATTTTCGCGAAACATTTGATTCCTTATGCCACGAGTCATCATGGAAGACAACACTTGCTGATGACTTTTCAGTTAAGTTGGTTATGGTAACTAGAATGTATGATGCCAGAATAAAAGCTTGACTTCGCGTATGCGGCAAACGTCTCGTCTCTTCGAACCGAGGTCAGGAGCATGAAAGGGTGGTTTGATACATCTAGTGTTGTTCAACTTTGCTGTCGACTGGGTTATGCATTAGGCAGTAGAACGTCACCAAGACGTCCGAGCTTCCGCAGATTACTGTATTACAATCCTTGAATTTGTCGATGACGTGGTGTTGGTTGGGAAGAAGTTAACCGCTTTGAAAATGGTCCTTATCAGCATTATTTTATACCCTTCGGATCATCCCAATAAAGCCAAGGTATTCATGGCGTTCATTGATAAAACCGAACATTTCGTGCAACTCAGTGGTCAAACGACACAAATCGTCTCGGCCTGTATGTTTGGTCTACCATCCTGCCTAGTGTACCAGACAAAAATGATTCGAGCAGGATACTGATACTATTGGAAAGGCATTTCTACATCTCCGAACTAATATTTAGCACCAGAATGAGATCGATCATAGAACCAAACTCAGACTATTTTTCATAGCAATCCGCTCATTCTTACTGTGCGGCTGTTACACCTGGCCAACGAGGGTTGAGGACATCAAGCGATTGCAGCTGTTTCGAGTCCCTCCTAAAAGTAAAGTTTTATGAAAAAGACCCAAATGAGTGCCATTAAAACTGCTGTCATATCGTCCGTCTATCAACGCACGCAACGCCACCGAATAGTGGATAGGCTATCTGTTTTATAATCCCAACTTCACTCTTACCAACACCGTTCTTACACCGTCTTCATACCCTGACTGGCCCAGATAACGCAGATGAAAAACCGGTTGTACAATTTATTGAAAGATGCAAGGCAGATAGGCCTGTATATGGCTAATGCCACTCGTTAACGGAAAACAGACGGGGTTAACGTATGTTAGGACCTTACAGTTGACCGCCAGGCATGAATAACAGTGATCAAAGTAATGTATCAAGCTGGTTAGTCCTCACTAAGAATTCCGCTATCCTAATATAA